GAGAAGAAAAACAAAAACAACAAGGACAAAACCAAAAAAGTACAAAAACAATAAAAATAATACAGAAGTTCAAAACAGTTTGTTAGGAAATTAACAATGGTTGTTATATTACATGTTATCGTAAGATTATTCTTTATGTAAGTCAAGATTTCAGTGCTGTGAGTCTGGCTTCTTTTTAAAAGTGATTATCCATATGCCTTGAGGGCTTCTTTTGTTTGTTTGTTTTACTCAAAAAATTTCAGAACTGTAACACTGAGACATTTTCACCTTAGATTTCTGTTCTGGAATCTTTCCCTGGACTTTAAATTTTGTGATAACTACTTTATAATTTACAGAATTGGTTTGGCCGCTTTAACAGAGTTTAAATAATAGTGGCTTACACAAGAAAGAAGCTTGTTTCGCTGCGGCACGGAAGTCTGAGCCGACAACGCAGTCTGGGGGAGGTGGCAACGAGGCACTGTATTTGGTCACCTCTTGTCCCTTCGCGGCTTTCCCTTCTGCACGATGGTAGGAGGCCCAGGGCTGTGGAGAGCAGGGCTGGTACCATAGGAGCCACGGGTGTTTTCTGTAAAGGCTCAGCGAGTACAAGATGAAGGCTTTGCAGGTCACATGTGCTCTGGTGCATGTTCTTTTTTGTTTGTGTAAAACCCTTTAAAACTGTATTTTATTTCATTTTTTTTGGTACTGGGAATTGAACCTAGGGCCTTGTGCTTGCCAGGCAGACCCTCTGCCACTGGCCCTAAAACTTTAAAAATTATTCTTATCTTGCAGCCCTTAAGAAATTTACACCCCAGGCTAAATTCATCACACTTGCTATTATTTTGCCAGCAACTGTTTTAAGGGCATTACCTATAAATTACGCACTTTCTTTTCCATAAAATAGGGTCAGTAAGAGCATCCATTTCAGAAGGTCCTCATCAAGATTCAAGTGAGGTAATATATTGAAAATAGTGTCTGGCAAAAAGTAAGAACTCAGATATGATAACTATTTTTGTTAATACCATATATGCTTAATTCTACCTATGGAAGAGAATTAGTATATTTTTTAAGCTCCAGATTTCTGAGTAGTTTATGGCAGTTATAATTGTCACAGTTGTCTAGCCAAGCACTATATTTAAATCAGTGCTGAAGTCCTTTTACTATAATTTCTGTTTCTCTAAATTATTTATTTTGATGGATAGTGCTTGCTTCGGCAGCACGTATATTTATTTTGATACATAACCTATTGGCTAGGTTGCAGTAGAAGTGTTTTTTTTGTTTGTTTTTGAGACAGGGTCTCATTATGCAGTTCAGGCTGGCCTTGAACTCACTATATAGTCCAGGCCAGCCTGAAGTTCATGGGAATCCTCCTGTCTCAGCCTCCAGAATGCTGGGATTACAAGTGTGCACCACCATACCCAGCTATAAGTGAATTTTAAAAGAAGATGTTGTATTCTAAGCTTTTGCGTGCCTGAAAATGTCTAAATAGGTTTTATATCACAGGATAACTTAGGGGGGTATAAAATTTATGTGTCATCTTTCTCACAGAGTTTTTAGAATTTAGAATTGCAAAGTCTAAATCAATTCAGATTTTCCTCCCTAGTGTGTCTTGCAGTTTTTCTCTTGGAGACCCATGTGATTTTTTTTTTTTTTTAAATTGATGTTTGGGAGGTTGCTTGTATAGCTTTTCGTATGTCATGGCCCTTTAGAAATGTAGATTTGGGTTTTATTTTTGTTTTTACATTCTGGGAGTATCTTTTTGCATTCTCCCTTCAAAAATTTCTTATATTTGTTCTCTTCAGGGATTCCATTATGTGTATCGATCTCTTACCTGCCTTTTCTGTTTTGTTTATGGTACTGGGGATCAAGCCCAAGGGTGTTCTACCTCTGAGCTACATACATCTCCAGATCTTTTTATTTTTTGAGACAGAGTCTTATTTAATTGCTCATGCTGTCAAATTTAGCAGTTCTCCTGTGTCAGCCTCCTGAGTAGCTGGGAATAGAGATATGTGCTTGGCTTTTATTTTATTTTATTTGATTGATTGGTTAATTGAGACAGGGTCTTGCTGTGTAGTTCAGGCTGGCCTTGGACTCACTATGTAGCCCAGGCTGGCCTCAAACTCACAGCAGTCCTCCTGCTTCAGCCTCCCGAGTGCTGGATTATAGACGTACACCACCATGCCCAGCAGCTTTTATTCATTTATTTTTGTTTAAAACAAAGCTTTGTAGTACATTTTCTTCTAGTCTGTTTACAATGACCCATTTTGTGTACTTTTAGCTACTTATTGTTTTGTTGCATTGGAATTTAGTTTCTAATATTTCTTATGTTTGTGATTTTATTTCTTTTTGAGACAAAAGTCTATTTAGTTCAGGCTGGCCTTGAACTCATTGTGTAACCCAGGTTGGCTTTAAATTACTGGCAATCCTCCTGCCTCAGCCTCCTGAGTAGGTATGCATTACCATGCCCAATATGTTTCTTATTTCATATTCCTGGTGCTTTACCAGCTTGGCTTTCATCTCCTCTGTTGTCTTATTACTCTATTCTTTTTGAGGTTTTTTTAAAGGAAGCTCATATCTGGAACAGGTATGAGATTAATGCAAAACTATCTCTCCTTTTCTCTTTTTCTTTGTTTAATTTTGCTTGTGATGTGTTTTCTCTACTTGCCTGTTGCTTACATCCTTTCCCCCTTTGGATTTTGGGGAGTGTGTGTTGTACGGGTCCTGCGCTGGCTTTCTGATTGTCCACCTGTATAGAATGAATTTATAGTGTGGGGAAGGATTGCGGCAAGATCTGCAGCTTTCCTCAGATTTGTCGATTCAAATGCTTCGTCATCTTTGCCATGGGGCACGTCCATGTGTTGGTGTTCTGGGATCTTTGGAACTTTACAAAGTATGGTTGTCTCTCAGTGGCAGAAGGGGATTCCAGAAATGTGCGGACGCTCCCTGTCACCTGTGTAGAATGGCATAGCGTTTGTGCACTACCTACATACATCCTCCCTATGCTTAGATGATCTTGAGGTTACTCACGCTGCGGAGCAGGATGGAAGCGCTGTGTAAATATAGTTGTTACACTGTTGTATAGGAGAGGACAGGAAAATCGGTCCTTTGTGTTCATTGCAGATGCCTTTTTTCCTGAGTATTTTTGATCGAGGGTTCGTTAATTTGCAGGTGTGCACTGCGGATGTGAAGGGTTAAGAAGGCTCCCTCTTCCCTGTCCCTTACCTCGTCTGCCTCAGCCAGCTGGGTGGCCGTGGACAGCAGAAAGGGCCTTCAGAATGAGGTGCCTGGCTGCTCTGCATGGAGTTCCCACTTCCGGGGGCCTCACCTGGCCCACCTGGGTCCCTGGCCTCACCCTGGTGAAGAGTTCACGGCCTTTCACTTCTGTGACCCCAACCTCGGGGCTTTCTCTTTCCCAGCTGCATCTCAGCCTCTCTCTGTGTTGGTCCAGATTTGCTGACCTTCAAGCCAAGATGTCTAAAGCATGATGCAGTGCGCATTCTCAGTCACACCAGGTGGCGCATTGCACGTGTCTGAAGGACCTGGAAGGACACCTCCACCTGCGCTGTGACTGCGAGTGCCTTGGTTCTTTGCCTCTTGTGTTTCCTGTAATGCAGCACGTATTCACTTTAAAAACTTTCATACCCTCCCCTCCCCAAAACTCAAGGTGCCTTCTATTGTAGATCCCACAGCACACGCTGACATCCGGGTGATTGGCTGTTGATTTTGGTGACGTGAATAGGGGAGGAAAAAGATGCCTCCCTGATGGATTTAAATCTCACAGCTTTATGCTTTATTTTGAAAACTTTAAAAGTACAGTACTGCAACTCAGAATTGACCATTTTGGTCACGTTCCTGTTAAACTTTTTTTCTCTTACAAGAGGAAGCTAGTTTAACAGGTACAGCTGAGATTACTCTTGATTCTCTGTTTATATGTTTTAAAATATAAGTACAGGTACCTTTGAACACTGCAAAGCTTGTTGTATGTCTCGAACACTTACCCAGCTGGTACCCTCTTGTTTTGTCATTGTGCAGCGTGTGTCTCTGCGCTTCCCTTTGTTATGAAGTCTGTTTATTTTGTCGCTGCTCTCTGCTGTCGCATCTTGTTCCTCCACATGACTGGATCGTACTCGTTGTTCAGTGAGGCGTCTGGGCCGCCCTGGCCCAGCCATACGTCATACATGCAAGCGTTTCTCTGTGACAAGTACATGCTCCGGGTTGTGAGATCTATGCCTCTTCACGTTTACTAAATACTGACTTGGACTACTTCCACGAGCCCATCCCGCACCACGGTGATGGTACCCGGATGTCAGTGTGTGCTGTGGGAACCCTTTCTGTTGCTTGCACTTCCCTGTGCTGTCTTGAAATGAATGCGACATTAAAGAATGATACTTAAGTGATTGGTTACATTATCAGCTGTGTGTAGGTGAATATTGCAGTAGAGAAGGGTAATAAATGATCTAACTAGAAGTCTTGCCAAATCTAGTCTGTACTCCCTATTTGACACGAGATGATGAAATTTCTACAGCCCCCACCCATCAGAGCAAAATTAAAGTGTAAAGGTCCTGGGTGTCTTGGGGGAAAAGGAGTTGGGACAGAGAGCATCATTGTGTCTGCTAAGAGCACTGCCGACTCAAGTGCCTGTGTGCCCTTTCTCCTTGGAGTGAGTTTACATCTGGAGCTCTTTTCCCACCTTTTTAACCTGAAAGTCGTTAAAAGGGGTGCAGGTGAACTCCAAAATGATGAATGCTAAGGTGGGGAAGGAAGGTTGAATTCTCAGGTGTTGGGTTCAGTAGAGTAAGTGGCGAACAGCTGGCCCTGCTTTGGGACGGTGTGGCGCTGACATACTGCGGCGTCCACAGCGAGGAGGTGAGCGCCTCAGCCGCACGGTCCGGAAATCAGCATTCTCTGGGCTGTCGGTGATCTGATTTTTTTCCCTTCTACTTGGTCAGATGCCTTGTTTCTTTATTCCTTTAAAAAAAAGCACAATTCCTCATGTTGGTACTTTCCTACCTTTCTTTCAGAAAAGCAAGAGGAAAGGGCATGAATACACCAACATTAAGTATTCCCTAGCAGACCAGGCAGGTGGCGATCAGAGTCCCCTCCCGCCGTGTACACCAACGCCAGCCTGTGCGGAGTAAGTAGCAAGGCGGGAACTCCTTCCTGCCTGGACCCAGTGCTGTGAAAAGGCTTCACCACGGCAGCAGCAGGTTTTGCAGCCCAGGGCTCTCCCTGCACACATTATAGTCCTGCGGCGGCGGGGGTAGGGGTGACTGGCAGCTTCTCTGGATGGTGTTGGTGCTGTCTAAGCCAAATCTTCTTTTTTCTAAACTGAAGCCTGGCCCTGTGTGACTAGGATGATGCGGATTTTAATCTTGTCAAGGAGTTGTTACGATTTTATATTTTTGAATTTTTTTTGTTTTGTTTTGGGAATCAAACTCAGGACCTTACACTTGCCAGGCAGGCGCTTGTGCCACTGAAGTATATCCCCAGCCCAAGCTTGTCAAGGAGAGTCTGAGTTTTCTTTTGCAGGCTTGAGGGTTGTTGCGGAGGGAGGTACCCCTGCCGTGGTGCGTTAAGACTTCGTTAAGTAGGATCAATAAATTACCTATAAACCTGTCAGCACAACCTAGGTCTGCCGGCTTTCCAACAGTCAGCGGACTATAGCCCACGGGCCAAGTCTAAAAACAGCAAAATCGGGGGCTGGGGATTTAGCTCAGCGGCAAAGCGCCTGCCTGGCAAGCGCAAGGTCGTGAGTTCGGTTCCTGGTACCGGAGAAAAACCAAAAAAAAAAAAAAAAAAAAAAAAAAAAATAAAAACAGCAAAATAAAACAAATCTTCAAAGAGTAATATGTGATAGAGACCACGTGTGGCCTAAAATAAACACTGTGTTCTCTCCAGAAAAACTTGGTTAGCTTCTTGTTTAAACCAAAACACTATCGGAAAACATTTGTTAAATTGATCAATTGAAAAGGAATTTTAAGTTATTATCTTTCTATGTATTCTAAAGGCACCCTCTATATAACATTTACTTTTTATTTTCCCGTAAGAATCTTGTCTCTATTTGCTCCTGATGTGGATTTTTAAAGCCCTGCTGACTTTAATATCGTATCTAAACGTTTCCAAGAGCAGATAGAGGCTTGTATTTACCTTGGCTTTCTGTTTGCATTGAAATGAGATTATGTAGCAGAAGCCTTTTCTCCTCTAAGTTGCCTCTTCCTTCTGTTGGCTTTTTCTGTCCCAGTGGGCTGACTGGGAAAGTTGATATTTTAAATCGCTATCTGCAGTAATTTGCAGTGGCGCCAGAACGCCAGAAAGCCTTCCTCTCTCCCTGAGACAGGCTGTCTGCCTCTGCCGTCCCAAAGCCCCTCTCAGGCTGCCGCTCACAGCTCCGGGTTCATCTGCCTGAACCGCTTTGACACCCCCTCCGTACCAGCAGGAACGGGGGCTCCTTGATGCTGGAACCCGCCAACCTGGGTGGTGAAATGCCTGTCGCCTTTCCCAGGCCCTGGCCTGAGGCTGGCTGCTCCGCCATGTTCCCATCCAGGTGCTCTCACCTGCTCCTTTCCCTCTGCTGGTGGTGACCAGGGCCCCCTTCTGTGTGTAACATCCCACCCCTTCGCAGTACCCGGTGTTGCCTGCTGCAGGCCCCTGGTCTTGCCTCCCTAGAATACAGCCTGCCTCCCCGACTCTCCCCCTTCCCTGGGCCTCGGGCCTCCTGGTCCCCTTTCCATGTCCCTGTGACGTGGTTGTGTGTGTCTTACATCCTCCACCAGTATCAGCTTCTAAGGCGCCCAGGGAAGGGGCCCACAGGATGCAGTGTGTGCTGTATGAGTGTCATGTAAGTTTGTGCGGCGTGGCCTGCGGTTCCGTGAGTGTCTGCCCCCTTTTCTACACAGAATGAGAGAAGACAGTGCCAGAGTTTACGAGAACGTGGGCTTGATGCAGCAGCAGAAGAGCTTCAGATGAGAAGAGTCACCGACACTGCAGCACAGAAAGAGGTACTTCAGTGCCCGCTCCCTCGGTGGCTTACTTATGTAATTTGCGTCATTGCAAAGCAGGCTGGTCCTTTGTGAATGTCCCTGCACAACGTGCCAGAATGGAGCTTTGCAACCCAGCCTCCTTTTCTCGCCCTGTGCTTCCTTCTCCAGATTGATTGAGTTTACAGTTCATTAAGCATTAAAATCAGGTACAGAATTAACCATGCAAGGGGTAGGGTAGCACTCGGTCCAGGGAAACGGCTGATCCTGGTGGCAGAGAGCAAGTGTCACTGTTCTTGCAGTTTTCGTTAGCACTGCTTTACCAGGCTCTGCCAGGATGATCTGTCAGCATCCGGAAGCACTGGGGCACTCTTCCAGGTGGTGGGGGTCAGGATGCCTGCGCTTTCTTCCCAAGTGGCTTTTGAGTGGCTGTGAGACTTGGGGTGCTGGGCTTCCCTGGCCTCTTGACTGAGTCAGCTCCATATCCCTGCCAGCTCTGCGGCCGGGAATCCATCCAGCACCTTTATGGAATATCTGCCCAGTCACCCTTTTAGATCAGGATGCAAGTATGCAGTGTGTGTCTTCGTGATACGTGAGAAACATACAGTGTCATTATTTCTTGTTGACGTTTCCATCTCTATGGCTGCATATTTAAAGATTGTAAATCAGCTGGGCATGTTGCGTGTACTTGTCATCCTAGCGCTCTGGGAGGCTGAGGCAAGAAGACTGCAAGTTTGAGCCCAGCCTTGGGAACTTAGCGACTTAGTGAGACCATTATCTCAGAAGGGATGGGAGCTCAGGATGTAGCTTAGTGTGAAGGCCCTGGGTTCAGTCCCCAGTACCTCACCTGCAAAAGCTTTAAATGTTCTTTAAAATAGTCTGGGCTGTGGGTGAGGCTCAGTGGTACAGTGCTTGCCTAGCGTGCGCAAAGCCCTGGGCTCCATTCTCAGCACCACAGACATTTAAATTAATAAACAGTTTAGTGCTCCACCAAGCTTTTTAGAGGTATGCTCCTTAAAAATTCCTGTTTCTTCCCCAGATGTGGACTTTCACCCTTCCCCTAGATGAGGAGCAGACGTGCAGGAGAGCTTATGTGAAGAGTGGAGTTGGACTTGGAAGACGCAGTTGTGGCTGACTACCTTTTGATAAGCAAAATTTGAAACCACTTTAAGACCACTGTATTCTAATCCAGCGTTTCCTCAGATAAGAAGACATCATCTCTACAGTGTAGACAACGCTACATTTTATAGAATTCTGTTTTAAATTGAGGAAGCAGTAAAACTGTGCTCTATGTTTTACAGATTATGGGGATTCCAATTCTAGTTATGAGAAATTTCTTTTTTCCTTTAATAACCTTAACCGTTTTGTTGTTTCTTTGTGTGGGGGTGATGGGGGCACTTATAAAAAGAAATGATTGGAGAAAGTTAAGTAACAACACCCTTGAGGAGTGGGAGGGATTTCATTTACCACTGCTTGTTGTAATGTTTTGTGTGGCCTAACAGAATACCATAGAGTGCATCATTGACGGTGAACACTTACTTCTTGTAGTTGTGGAGGCCAGGAAGTCAAGGTCAAGGGGCCACCCCTCCCGAGGGCCCCTCGCTGTGTCGTAGCTTGGCCAGAAGCGTCATGGCAAGGAGCCAGCGAGCGAGGGCTTGCTTTATGACGACCCCTGTGACGCCGCCGACGCGATGTCTCCAGTGCACCTACTTCAGGGGCGCATTTAACCACAGCACTTAGCAGCTGATGTTAGTGGCTTCTTTTTTGGTGGTGGTGGGGTGGTGGGGTCAGGCCAGTGTCGAGACTGTCAGAAGTTCACTGTCTGCCTTTGTGTTGCCATTAAAAAGTCACGGGGAAAATCATGGAAGTGGATGAAGCAGGCTAGCGGTTGTTTTCTTAGCGGAGGACCAGCTGCTGCTCAGCTGCTGTGAGGGGGCTGTGATGGGGAATGGGCGCCGTGTTTTCTTTGCATTTGAGCGATTGTCTTGTTTAGAAAACAGGCATCCCTGGGTGATCAGTGTGCTGGTTATCCAGTGTTGCTGACCCCACCCCCATGCGCCATCCCCGGCCGGGCTCAGGGGAGCTGCTCTGTCTTGGCACGAGTCACTCGTGGCTGGCAGGTTGGCTGAGACACTGGGCAGCCGCCGTCCTCAGGGCTTCACCTCGCTGTGGTCTCTCTGCGTCCCCCGCCAGACGGGAGTGAAGCCTTTTGCGTGGCACGTGTGGCCAGGCCCGCTGCAGCCCCCTGCTGTGGCTTCCATCGAAGGCACATGGCTCACGAAGAAGGTCTGCGGTGGACGTGAGGTCCCCGGGGCCAGAGGTCCGACAGGCACGCGCAGCCGGTGACATGGAAACAGCGCTAGTGAGCGCAAGCAGAGGCTGCTGCGACCGTGGGAAGCTGAGGCTGCTTGCGGTGACTGGTGGAAGCTACAAGTCAGCTGAGAAGTGGACGGAGAGCCTTCCAGAAGCTTCTGAGCCAGCTCAGACCGGCCTGCACCTACTTTCTGAACTTTCACTTGGGGAAACGGGCCTGGAAAGAATGGATGTGTAAGGGGGACAGAGCATTTGAAAGGAAAGCCACCCCGTCTTCGCAGTACCTGCAGCCCTTGGCCAGGGTGATGCTTTCTTAACACCCCTGGTTGTTAGTCAGGCCTCACCTGCATGTGCAGTCAGCGTGGGGAGGCGCAGTTAGGGCCAGGCCTCCTGTCAGCTTGAATAGGCCCATTTTTATTTGAGCCAGTGGGATTTGCTAATATTAGTTCTACCTTAAGTGCCTTCTCTGAAGACCTCCCTCTTTGCCTGTGCTGGCTCTTCTGACTCCTTGTTCAGTGACAGATTTCAGTGAAAACGCCCTGGGGCTGGCTTCTGGACCGATCATAGCAGGTGTCCTTACTCAGATTCTTCTTGCTCGGGCTCCTGACGGAAGGACTAGTGCCCACCTCCCACTCACTGGAAAGCCTGAGGGCTGCCATCATCACAGAGAAAATCTGTGTTGATCCCCTCCCTCCTCCACGTGGAAGGGAGGCAGAACTGCTTCAGAGGACAAGTGTGGCCTCAAAGTGCCACCCACTGGGAGAGGTGACGACTCCCGTCTTCTTGTCAAGCCTACAGAGGAAGAAGTTCCAGTTCAGTATTTCTCGCCAGGGTCCTGCAGCCTGTTTTTTTTTTTTCTGCATTGTCACATTGAGTACTTTTTGGTTTTGTGGTAATGCTTGGACTCTGGACTTCGGGGGCAAAGCCTTTCACCAGCGTGCAGGGGTTTGATTGTATGACAAATCTGCTGCGTTCACATCCGCCTGGAGCCAGAGATGGGTTGTTTTCGCACTGGGAGTGGAAATACCTGATCTTGGCTAGCTTTGTTGCAGCACATTGATTTCGCTTTGGTTTTTCTCCAGAGTCAGCAAACCACCCTGCTGTTCTGTAAACTGATGCCGAGACCACATTCACAACAGTGTCCAGGTCGCTAGGTCTGTCTTGTGTTTGGTAAAGGTGGTGGCAGGGTTTCAGGTGCGGTCACTGTGCTTGTGGAAGAATCAGGCAGGGGCTGGGAGGATGTGGGTAGCTTGAGGGTGTGGGGTTGAAAGAAAAATGGAAGTGAAAGTTCCAAAGAGGGGGTTCGTGAGGGTGTCAAAAGGGCTGGGGCTAGAGCAGTCAGTAGTAGGTGAATCAGGTTACCTGGAGAACAGGTGTGGAATGTACTCTGAGTTGTTGGTGGATGTTAAATATGCACAATATCCCATAGCTGGCTGGCTATTTTACAGTGAACAGCATAGGATTTTATATTTGGGATGAAGAAATTATCTGGCAAATGGTATTGGGTTGTTTTTTTTTTTTTTTTTTTAAGCCAGATTTCAAGAGTCTTACCGGCTTTTCGTTCTTGTTTTTAAAAGGTCCCTTATGTCCAGTGTGTGGCCCTCATTGAAATTCATGACTTTGCCAACATGGCAAAATGGGATGGTTGACTCTATGTAGGACTTTTCTTGGTATCCTTGCCTTCTTTACAGAGCTTAGTTGCTTTATAACAGCCAAGCATATGGTTAAGATTATTTTTAGGGGTTAATTTAGTGGGGATTGTAAGAGCTAATACAGAATCTGAGGTTGTGTCTAGGTCAGGGGCATGTGACAGGGATGCAGCTGGGAAATGTTTCGTTGTAGATTAGTGATCCTCAAGGCACGCTTAGACTGTAGAGATACATACAAGCCCATTGCAGGTCCTATATTCTGTACGTCGTCAGGGGAATAAAGTTTGACGTAGCACGTGAGCCTCCCTATTTGAAAATGCGTTTCTTAGGATCTGTGTTAGCCCTTAATTTTGTTGAAATCTTTTTCCTTCTCCCTCTTGAAAAATAAGTTCCCAAACATAGTTATTGTATCTTTCATCACTAAAAAGTTTATTCCTTTGTTCACTATGTGCAGTTCACACAAGGCAAAAATATCAAACAGTTGGTTTTAGTGTCTTGTATAACTTTGCTGTATATCAAACTAATTTTTACAAGTTTTCATCCTAAACCTCACATCATGTAATTAATAATTTGCCTGTTTATTTATGACCTAATTGTGATTCTTTCATTAATAAGAGCTAATGGAAAAGGACCCTTTATTAAGCTGATGACTAGACCTACATTTAATTTTCCTGCAGTGTATGAAGAAGTATTGTACCAGAGTATTAAAAGATATGTAATATTTTATTGATAAATCTATTCTTCAAAAGGAAAATGTTTTAGGATGTCATTGCTTTAATGTGAATCATGTAAATGTTGATAATATGCTGTTTATTATACATGTAGTGTTTCAAGAGATTCACTTAATTGCCTTTTGCCCGCGGATATTATGTAGTCTCTTTGCAATTGTTTTTTTATAGAAAATGACGTTAAAAGAATAGTTTATGTAGAGAAACATTAGTGGTTGTTGTTCCCCACCTGTATTTATGGGTGTTAGTTCAACTGCTTTGCTAGTTGCAAAGCCATATTAGCAGAGTAAAAGTGTATTTGTAAACTGTATGGAACTAAAAATTAGGAATAAAACCATTTTCTTACATTATGGTATTTGGTATTTACTTCATAAAAATGATCCAGGAGCCAGACATGGTGGTGCATCCCTGTGATCATAGCACTTGGGAGGCTGAGGCAGGAGGATTGCTCTAAGTCAGGGCCAGGTTGGGTTACATAGTAAGTTCAAGACCTGTCTGAACTACATAGCAAGACTGACTCAAAAACAAATAACAGAAGTGCCCAGGAAAAAAAAATGTGATCGGTTGGGCTGTCACACTGGCAGGATGCTGACATTGGGCAGCTGCTGGGTTGAAGGGGTCTGGAATACAGACTAGACAGATGAGTTTCGGGACATTTCACCCATCACCTCGTTGATCACAAAACACGGGGCATCTCTAAAACACCAGGCACCGCGCCTGTGCCACATCCTGGGATGAGCAGTGACCAGCACTGTCAGCCCGGTGGCTGGCTGCCAGGGAGCCAGGGCCTGGCCCAGTCAGATTGTCCCTGTGTAGCTTGACATGAAGATAGCTGGGGCCAGGTCAGAGATGGGACAGCTAATTCCAGGAGGGGCAAGTGACGAAATGGCAGGGGACATGATTTCCTGTAGAAGGAGCTCGCCTGGGTCGCCACACCAGCCCCGAAAAGGGCTGTACACAGATGCAGCTTGGCCCACGTTATCCTTCCAGAGCTCCAGGGCTGCGTGGAGGGCAGTGGCAGTCCTGTCCTTAGACGTGCCGCGGAAGTCCCTTCTGACGCCAGGGTCCTCCTCACCAGAAAGATCCCCTAGAAAGTGTGTGATGAAAGGCAGGGTGGAATGCACTCCACATCAGTGTAGACAGCTGAGGGCTCGGGCAGCTTAGTCGCCTCGTAATGAAAAGGCTCCTGGCGAAGCAGCTCCTCAGGGCCTCATCCTGTGTGTGCTTCGTGTGACCGTTCGCTCCGCTCTGGAGGCGGCAGGGAGGTGGAAGGGGGCGACCTCAAGGCATAGCTGTATTGCAGTGCTGTTGCCCATGCCCAGATAACTGGGCAAGTTGCCAAACACTGAACATGCAAAATAGTGCTGCACTGGAAAGGGCGTTGCTGTCAGTAGTGACAGTACAGCTACCAGTGAGCTTACACTCATGTCCCTTGAGGCCAGTCTGTATCAGTCCCCAAATACAGCTACTGTGGGATATAAAGTGCGGTGACCAGGGAGCGCTGGCAGTGATAAAGGATTAACAGGAACAGGGGTGCTTACCAATGGGGGGAATAACTTGTGCTGTTCTATATCGAAGTAGGGTGGATTGGTCAGCTTCCTGTCACTGTGATGGAATACCTGATGCCCACAACTTAAAGAAGGAGAGGTTTATTTGGCTCACGGACCCAGAGGTTTAGGTCTGCGGTCAGCTGGCTCCAAGGTGGAAACGACACGGAGGAAGGGCCTGGCAGAGCAAAGCTGCTCACCTCACGG